GAGCAGAAGTGTCGCACGTTCTTCAAAGTGCAGGCTTCGAATTGGCAAAGTGGTTTTCGAACTGCTCGGAACTGTCCGCTTTTGATAGCACAGTTATTCCAGTAGCCACAGTCGACTCAGACCCAACCAAAACGCTCGGCGTTATGTGGTTGCCGAAGGAAGATGTATTTCAGTTCCAGTTGGAAAATTCCTTCCTAGATCTCCGCTCGACAAAACGGAACATATTATCGGTGACTGCCAGGCTTTTCGATCCTCTGGGCCTTCTTTGCCCACTGATCACCAAAGCAAAAATGTTGCTGCAAGATTTGTGGCTACAAAAACTAGATTGGGACGAATCCATCCCTGAGAATCTTCATACAGTTTGGGACTCATTTAAGCAGAATTTGTTGAACCTCAGCGATATTCAAGTCCCTAGATTCGTCCATACAGATACGCAGTCACCCATTCAAATACATGCGTTCGCCGATGCCTCAATGCGAGCTTATGGCGCCTGTATTTATGTTCGTGTTTCGACTGCGAATGGTTGGAAAGTGTCACTTTTGACCTCAAAATCCAAAGTAGCTCCACTCAAGACGAAAACTTTGCCTCGTCTTGAGCTGTGTGCAGCTCACCTTCTCGCAGATCTTTTTCGTCAAGTCCGCCCGTTGCTTAATTCTCCAATAGACAAGATAGTTATGTGGACTGACTCGGAAATAACGCTCCACTGGATCAAGTCGCATCCGTCGGCATGGTCAGTTTTCGTTTCAAACAGGGTTTCTCAAATCCAAGAGTGGTCCGAGAATGCAACGTGGCGACATGTCCCAACGAAATCCAACCCAGCAGACATCGTGTCCAGAGGATGTAATGTAGACGAGTTGCGTAGCTCCATTTGGTTTACAGGGCCACCCTTCCTCATGGAATCGGAAGAAAATTGGCCTGTGAATGCTCACTTCGAGCCGCCTAAAAATTCAGCTGCCCTAGAAATTCGTAAGTCTGCTGTAGTTTTACTCGCAGATCGGCAAGCCAATTATATTCTCGAAGTTATCGAAAGCTACTCGTCACATTCAAAATTGCTGAGGGTGTTCGTTTGGGTTTTTCGATTTATACAAAGGTGCAGAAAAGTCTCGAAGCCCTTTGATCCTATAGCCAAGCCAAGCGAACTCAATTTGGTATTCAACAAAATTGTTCAAGTCATCCAGAACAATGAGTTCGGTGACGAAATCGACAAGGTTCGAAAAAAGAGAACACTTAACGCTAACTTACAGCGTCTGAGTCCATTTCTACATGAGTTTAGAGAAGACGGTTTCTTGTTTTCCTTGCTGAGAGTGGGGGGAAGATTATTAAATGCTCCTATCCCGTATGAAGCCAAGTTTCCGTTGTTGCTTTCTAAAAAGTCGCAATTCATAAGATCGTACGTATCTTATTTGCATGTGTCAAATTGCCATGCTGGCCCTAGATCGCTGGTGAGCCTGCTTCGTGAGCGAGTTTGGCTGGTTAACGCTCAGGAAGTGTGTCGCCGAACAGTACGTTCGTGCATCCTCTGCTTCAAATGGAAGCCCCGGTTGGCCTCCCAAGTAATGGGAAATCTTCCGGCAGACAGGCTCCAGCCGTTCCACCCGTTCGAAGTATGTGGTGTTGATTTTTGTGGCCCTATAAGCACAACGCTCCGCATCCGTGGCAAGCCACCGTATAAGTCGTACGTGGCTCTTTTCGTTTGTTTTGCCTCGAAAGCGGTTCACTTAGAGCTTGTATCAGATCTAACCACTGATGCTTTTCTCTTGGCTTTTGAAAGGTTCGTCGGCAGGAGAGGCGTCCCTCGCAAAGTTTACTGCGACAACGCAACGAACTTCGTGGGAGCCGACAGGAAGCTGCAGGAGTTCCGAGCAAGATGGGAGAAGGAGGCGGAAGGCGTACGCGAATTCGCATCAAGAAAAGGATGCGAGTTTGCGTACATACCACCCAGAGCGCCTCACTTCGGCGGTCTATGGGAGGCAGGTGTCAAGTCTGCAAAGCACCTGTTCCTACGGACGGTGGGCAATGCGCTCCTGACCGCAGAAGAGCTCGGAACACTCCTGGCGAGCGTCGAGGCCGTGCTGAACTCTCGGCCACTGGGACCACTCAGCGCGGACCCCAGCGACGGCGAGGCGCTAACCCCGGGCCACTTTCTGATCGGGCGGCCTCTTCTGGCGACTCCAGCTCCACCGCTCCCGGACATCGACAGCCAAACCTGCTTAAGGCGATGGCGCAATGCCTCGTGTCTCAAGCACAGGTTTTGGCAGCGATGGTCCCGGGAGTACATTTCGAGCCTCCAGGTGCGAGCGAAGTGGTTCCAGGAGGAACCCAACGTCGTCGTGGGACAACTCGTCGTGGTGGCCGAAGACAACGTGCCGCCACAAAAGTGGATACTTGGCAGGGTCACCACAACTCACGCCGGGACAGACGGGAAGGTGCGGGTGGCCGACGTCGCCACGAGTAGTGGCAATCTACGGAGGGCTATTCATCGGCTGGCGCCATTGCCCGTTGAAGGACGATGTCCCTCCAAGGGGGCCGGTGTTGGCGCAGATGCTGCTTTAGATTAAGATAGTTTAAGAGAATTATTTGAATTTTAGTTTAGGGCGAAAAGAGAGCGCGAGAGCGGCCGTTTGCGGACGTCGCCTCGCGCCCTTTTTTCGCCGCCTTAGGCTTAGTTTAGCATGTAAGCCTAATTTGAAGTCAGTTGCAAAATAGAACCATATACAAACACAATTGTCGCCAAATCGTTCGCATTTCCGCATTAAAAAGTTAAAAGCAAGCGTCCCATTCTTTCTTTGTTTTTAATAATTTATATAAAATAATATAAATTTTCAGTTACTAATGAAAACTCTAATGCCAAATGTACTAAACAAAGAAAAAATTACTTTTAAAAATGTCAAATAATTTTTAATTAATTAACATTTCTTGCTCTGTCAGTGCAAGATGAATGAACATACATACATACATAGATGTGTACATGTACATAGATGTGTACATACATATGTATGTGTGTACATTCACATATTAGTGTCTCACATTTTGTTTTGGCTATTTCAATCGTTTGCACGCAACTACACGAACAGCTGTTTGTATGTGTGTGTGTGTGTATACTTAGTTGTCCCCAACTGTTTGATATTTTGTATTGTTTGTTCTGCCTGCATTTGTAGAATGCATATTTTGAAAATCCTTGAAGGCAAAGTTATAGATTTAGTTAAGTAGATTATATTATCCAAATTTGACCTCGATCGGACGAAATTTATAACACAAACTTTTCATTTTAAAAAATGAATACATATTAAAACCCCAATAATTCAACCTCCAACACACATTTCAAACAAGTAAAAAAGCTAAAGTCGGGTGTCCCGACTTTGAAATACTCTGTACATATGTTTACAATAATTATAGAAAATAAAAAAATAAAAAAAAAATTGGATCGATTTCACCTCTCTCGGTATTCGAATTCACGTAAAGGGTTTATAATTGCACATTTACATAGCAATTGCGTCTGTGTGAGTGTATGTATGTCTATGCGCATCAATTCGTGTCTGTGTAAGCATTTTCGGAGACTATCTCGGAGACTTTAACACCTAGGAACACCAAATTTTAGTCCCAGATGCCTTATGTGAATACGCAGAAAATGTATATTTTGGAATACCCCTCCCTCCCCCCTCTACCACGCAAATCGTAACTCCCGTAATTCTTGGAATTTCCAACTAAAATGGAAATACTCCCAGTTGGTTATTATGTGTCCGTTTGCCAAGTTTCATCATGATAGACCGATTTAACAAGAAGTTATAGCCATAAATATATTTGCTGCTGCAGCGCTGCTCAAGCGCTGCCCGCGGCTGTTGTTGATGTTGTTTGGTTGACTGCGAAAATGCTTACACAGCCACGAATAGATGCGCATAGGCATACATACACTCACACAGACGCAATTGCTATGTAAATGTGCAATTATAAACCCTTTACGTGAATTCGAATACCGAGAGAGGTGAAATCGATCCAATTTTTTTTTTATTTTTTTATTTTCTATAATTATTGTAAACATATGTACAGAGTATTTCAAAGTCGGGACATCCGACTTTAGCTTTTTTACTTGTTTTTGTATTCTTTTATAGATTATAAAAACCAAATTTGAAGTTGATTGGTGGAAAACTGAAGATTTTTCAAACAAACTTTGGAGCTCGTTTTCCCCTCTTTGGAGCTCGAGTTTTCCAAAATCCCTTCTTAGTGCGCACCTACACTATGATAGGATACTTGAGCCCAAATTTCAGCTTCCTAGCTTTTACCGTTTCGGCTGTGGGCTGTTGACGTGGTTTCCTTTTGTGCCCCAACTTTTTTTTTTCAGGCCCCAAGAAAAATTTCAAAAAACCAAGTATGCAGTTTTACTTGGAAGTTTGAAGTTAATCAGATGTAAATTGTAGATTTTTATACCCTGTACCCAAAGGGTACAAGGGTATATTAGTTTTGTGCGAGTGCACATGGAACACACAGAAGGAGGCTTGGTAGACCCCACAAAGTATATATATTCTTGATCAGCATGACAAGCCGAATCGATATAGCCATGTCCGTCTGTCTGTATGAACGCAAGGATCTCAGAAAGTATAAGAGCTAGAATAACGAAACTTGGTACACACATTCTCCTGAGCCCGAGAAAGGACCGGCAGAAGGAGCACGATTGATACTCTTAGCGACGAGGAACGCCAGCTCATGCGCATATTGGCAGACAGATAGAACGTGACAAGTTCCCGAAAAATTTTAGTACAAGTGTTCCATTTTGTAAGACAGCTTCTGCAATTTGTCAGTGGGGAAGTCCGAGTTGGCCATCACCAACGCCATCTCGGTAGAAGAGAATGCGTTCCTGCAACTCACCGTCGTGCTCCCGATATGCTTCTAAAGGTAATGTGATGTTCATACATTTTTTTTTTTAATTTTATTCTTTTATTTAACAGTTGAGCTGACTCAACTAGTATTACATTTGGTTTTAATGCAGAAATAAATGAAGTAAATTCAGAAATGAGGAATATATTTTATTTCGTTAAAATTGGTTCGAACCATCGAAATGTTGAAATAATGGTAAATCATATAAAATCATAATAATCAACTTCATAGCCATTGGCCGGCCCTGTTGTCAAAATAAATTCAATGGTTGGCATACATATTATTTATGTAATAGTAGGTCCTTCGATTCTAAAGGAAGTAAAGCTGGTTCTCTAGACCGGATGAAGGAGCACGATTGATACTCTCGGCGACGAGAAACGCCAGCTTATGTGCATATTGGCAGACAGAAGGAACGCGACAAGTTCCCGAAAAATTGTAATACATGTGTGTCATTTTGTAAGTTAACATCTGCAGTTTGTCGGCAGAGAGGCCGATTTTGTTATAAATTATGTTATAATTTGTTGGGGATACGGTGCCTTGGCTTACGGACTGCGACACCAGGAAGAAGTCGTAGCGATCTGGTAGGGTTATTATGTCATCAACAATAGTGCCTGGGGCGGGGTTGCGCTTATTCACAAAATATCGAGTATTAATTCGTTTCGTTACAACAATGAATGCTAAACGGCACCCTTCCGGCTTGCCAGCTGCCTTGTAAATATCGTCCAGTTTGGTCTGCAGCAGCTTCACTTCGATGTTGACAACCTGATGGAGTTGGCCATCACCAACGCCATCGCGGTAGAAGATAATGCGTTCCGGCAACTCACCGTGGTTCTGTCGATATGATTTTATGGCTAATGTCATGTTCATAGCCATCTGATCCGACAACTCTTGGCCCTTCATGTGCTCAGTAACCGCTGAAAAGAAACGCCCTGAGGTCCTTATGTCCATGGTGGCCACTAATGCGCCGTATGATTTGCTTTTGTTTTTCGAAGAGTGGCAGACATCAAAGCCGACAGTCATTAAGCCGCGCAGCGGCAACTCGACCAACCACGGAATTCCCATCAATTTTGCATTCATTTGAATTACGACTTTAGTGGCAATTGACATAAGGCCGCCGCTTTTCTCTTGACGTGGGGCAATAACTCTTAAGGTAACAACTTGTGATGGCACCGGACGGTCCACACAAGCCCGTTTTTTAATACAGGCATACCTACGCAGAGAAAAAACAGTTGGCAAAAAACAAACAACTTTGAAGTGAAATTGCTTCATACTTTTCCTCATTGCTGGTCTTCAGCACTATCATCACAATCTCAGGGTCCATGGATGCAGCCTTATCAATTGCCTGGGAATATGAGCTATTACGGTCATCCTGAATCTCGTGGCTGTAAATATTAATAAACGCAACTGAAAACTGTGAAGCTATGCTATGTATGTCTTCACTTCAATATCGATACGTACTACCGAGGTTCACTAATCATCATTTTCATGCCGGCAGCTGCACGAATACAAAGCTTCACGAAGTGTTGGGTTTCCCGCAGGTTACGATTTGGTGTTATCACAATCCAACGCTTAATGTTAACGTGTCTAAACATCGCGTTGTTGCGGAACTCGCCTGTCCAATCAGCGCGATGGTCGCAAAGGTATTGCTTCTGGTTGCCAAAATGAATTCTCTCGGGCATCAGAACGCGAGCGGGTACCTCAACTAGATTCTTGTCTAGATCTATATTCCATGATTTCAAAACATCCACGCTCTGCGCCGATGTCAACAAGCGCCGATTAAAAACACGCAGGCGCTCAATGCGCCTCTCAGGCGTCAATCGAGTATGTTCGCTCATTGCTCTCATTAATCTGGTAAAAGAAACATTGATAATAGTGACAGCTAATAGGTGCGTACCAATTTGACTAACCTGAAATCAGCCCGCATTGCATCGGTCATGCCGGTAGCCCGTGCCAGCTCTGGGATCAACATAATAAGTTGATCCAATCCTCCACGAATGTTCTTATCGGTTGGATGAGAAACAACAAGCGGTTGTTTAAGGTCCCGTATGGTGATATTATAGCGCTAAAATGACACTTAATTGTGTATTTGAGGTTTAACTTAGAAGAAAAATATATGGGAAACTACTTAAGACATCTCGATAAGACTCTGTGGCAACTCAAAAATCTATTTTTTTAAACAAAAGTGTTGACATATTAATGTGGAATACTTTTTATGGGGAGGTTTCCTAGGTATATTAAACATGGTAAGATATAATGAAGCAATGCATTGAATACCTTTTTGTAATATTGATCATATGAAATATCCCCATCCTTAGTGGAGAATACAGACAATGGGGAGGCGCTATAATCCACATCGTCCACACGATACGTCTTGTTATTGTAATCTGTCAACACAACCATTCCTGCAATGAATAAATGAAAAGAGACACCAATTTTGATTTGAAAACAAGAGGTACGCTACAGTCAAGCAAGCCCGACAGTGTAATACCCTGTACCCAGGTAAACTTCCGTCACTGAGTTATATGCGCTCATAGCACAGCAAAAAGAGGAAGAAGAAGAGCGAACTTGTTGCTTAAGTTTGGGGGGGGGGGGGGGGGGGGGTTGTACTGGCGATAATGCTAATAACTTTTTTTTAAATTGACAGAATTGAATAAAATTTTAGATAATTATATATAAATGATATGTGCAAAGTTTTTTTTAGGTAGCATTTGAAATGTGGACGCTATTAACGAAATTCTGTAGCGGGGGAAATGGGGCGAAATTCCAAAAAATAAAATAAACTCGTCCTTTCTCGGACATGGATGCCAACTTTGGTTATTCTAGCTTTTATAGTTTTTGAGGTCCTTGCGTTCATCCAGACGGACGGACGGACATGTCTAGATCGATTTCTCTTGCCATGCTGATTCAGAATATATATACTTTATGGGGTCGGAGGATGCTTCCTTCTGCATGTTACATACTTTGCACAAACCTAATATACCCTTTTTACCCTACGGGTACAGGGTATAAAAAGTAACCTGAACTTGTAACGCTAGGATAAGGTTAATAAATAAATAAATTAGATTTTCGTTGCGCGTGCCTATTGCAATTAACTGTGATATGCATCAGAGTGGGAAGTGCCTCATGCTTCAATGAATGAAATATAAGAATAAACATTTTTGCAACATATTTTTGGAATACAACTACGTAAAAAATTCAAATTACTCGTTTTTATAGCCTGTACCCGAAGGGTAAAAGGCTGTACTTGTTTCGTGCGAATATTTGTAACAGACAGAAGGAGGCTTTGCAGAATCCACAAAGTATATATATATTATTGATCAGGGTGACAAGCCGAGTCGATATAGCCATGTCCGTCCGTCTATATGAGCGCAAGGATCTGAAAAGATACAAGAGGTAGAATAACCAAACTTGGTATCCAGGTTCCCCTAAGCCCTAGGCAGGAAAAGTTTATTTTTTTATTCTGATACCCCCCCCCCCCCTCTCCACAATTCGTGTTGTTTTTTATAACTTCCGCAACACGCATATGATATTTTGAATATTACCAGGAGGGGATGGGTTGGCGTACGTTTTTATTACACCATACTTTAGTCGTTTTCTCGGACATATAAACATATTTAAACACTCACCCACTACTTCTTTGCGGAAAGCACTGCGAAAATCCTCGTAGTCACGGATGCAATCCGATAGAATGTGGTACAATGTGTCAATTCTCATTACTTTATGAGCGACTTCAGTGCACAGTAAAATGTCGGTTTCGTGCTGACGAATCGAAGTTTGATAGCCAGGCCAGATCTCCATGCGGTAGTTCTCCAAAGTAATCTTCGAACATAAAAACATTAATTAGTGCTAACGCAATTGGAAACTAATTTTTCCAACATACCTTTGCCATAGGGTCGAAAAAATTGCGCGATACAAGTTCAAGCTTCAATCCCTCCATAGCCCGACGAAGAATCAAATTCAGCACTTGGAACTGCTGAATATCGGCCGTTTCAACAGTGCCAGCAGCTTTAATTTTAATGTAGATAGTTTCGTCGGCTCGATTTTTTGTCACCAACTCCAAAGCATAAACACTATTTTGAGGGCATTCAAACTGCTTGACACAGAATAGAATAGAGCCGTCAAAAATATATCCACCTAACAGGGAGCGATGCTCGTTCAAGTAGGCACGACGCAAACGAGTGTTATCGACGTCCGGAGAAAAATCAACACGGTATTGGTAAATTGTCCATTCTGGACGCTTCAAAATTTTAAAGTAATTAGTTTGCACAGTTATTTGAGTCCCAGAAGTGCCCGATTTAGTAACAACGTCACTGGGACGGGAAAGGACAACGTCGGTAATTACACGTCGGCCACGTACGGAGCCGCGAGAATCACCAGCCATTTCTGTTCAAAAGAGAATAAAAAACAGAAGTTTTAATTTTTAATTGCGACAAGAACAAACAGATCAGCACAACTAGCCTTCAGTGCGCTGGGGCCCAGGTGCGCATGCTTGAACAGTTTCTGAACGGGACGAACCCTGTGAGTTTCCACTTGAATCTTTTTCTTGGCGATCTGAACATCGTATAGTTTCCCCAGATTGAGGACCTTGCCCCTGCAAAAGTAAAAGCAAAACACCCAAATTATATACATTTTTATGAAGTAAATTCAAAATAACTATCAAATAAAAGAGACAATCTATTTATTTGCAGATTCAATTGAATTAATACTCAAAACCTTAAATTTTAATTGTTTATAAATACAGCAAGTTAATACTTTCCATGCAACATATTGGAATAGTCACAAATCCCTTAACATGGGCACCACTTATTCAGGCCTTTTAGCTCATGAAAAATATTGTATATGTATTCATTATGGGTTTGAAGATTCTTCCTTCTGCATGTTACGTGCTTTGCACAAACCTTACCTTTCTGGGCATTAAGAGGAGGTGGAAGTGTATTGCCTCGGCTGCCAAACACACGGACATCATAACAACATGAATAAGGAATTTAAATAAACGCAATAACGTAAAAGCAATTGAAACAAAAAAGACCGTCTTATTTCCTGCAGGCATAAAGGATACCAACTTCTGACAAATCTTTACAGGAATGTTGTACCACTATTTTCCCATAAAACCTACAAATTCATAGGCAGATCAATGAGATGACCCTAAAAGTTCGTAACAAATGCTCTCAAACTAGGCAAATCGATGGAAACACGAGGAGTACCAATAAAGACTTTAATACTATAGTACCCGACAACCGCATCGTTGCATTAGCTGACCGCAACTGAAAAAAAAAGTTCTCACACCTATTATTCCGTCCAGGTGTGTATTCATACAAACATACATATATATGTACATGTTTTAATTAATTGCACAATCTAGGGACGTAATGTGAATTTTGTTGTCGTTGGCTTTTCACATGACCTTCCTTTAACTATTCTACTTGGCTAAACATTGTAAATCGTAACACAGTAAAGATTTGTACATATGTATGTATGTATGTATATACATGTATATACATATGTACACACACATATGAAAACGTCAAGTTGGATTCATGGTATGTATTGATATTTACATGCATACATATGTATGTATGTATTTCAGGAACTACATACATATGTATGTACATACATATATACATACATACATATGTACGTTTAGACTTTTTTCGTAGGCTGTAGCTAGCACTCGCAAGAATTATACAGCGATCATACAAAGTCACACACATGTACATACATACGAGTGCTTTATTTTATGATTGCGTGAAGAAATTTTGTTAATATATATGTATGTATGTACATGCATATGTAAATGTACATACGTACATATGCATTCACATATGTAACTGTTAAAAATGCCTTCCCTTTGTACAAGATGCTGCACATATGTATGTATGTATATGTACATGTGCACATGTGTGTATATACCATTCAGCTTAAACGTGCATATTGACGGCAATTAACGGTTGATACTCTCTATTCCTCCATTTTCTTTTATTTCACGCTGCGTGTCGCAGGAATTTCAAGAATAAATAAAATCTTTGTGTGGTGTGAATTATTTAAACACCGGAATAACCCCCATACATACATGCTATACATATATATAAATATATATGAACAGGACAATTGCTATTAGTTTTATAATACATATATTCTAGTAAAGTAGATTTCTTGTTCGTATATTTGCTTACCAAGTTATGAGCAAGCCCCTGATTTCTTTCCTTCCTTCGTTTATTCCCGCGGCCTGCGCCTCGAGAATACCCAGCGGTCGAAGGAAAATTGTTCATTCTCTTCTATAACTTATTTAAACTTTCAACTGAAACTCCTCGCACAACTTTTTACTTGGACATCCACGCCGAACAACGAATCAAATACCAATGAAGGAATCAAAGTCTAGAAGTAGCGATGAAAACTGAAACGGTTATTCGCTTTTTGTCAATTAGTCGACGTCTTGTTATTCTCACTCATTTATACCCTGTACCCAAAGGGTGAAATGGTATACTAGGTTAGTGCGAATGTATGTAACAGGGAGAAGGAGGCGTGGCAGACCCCACAAAGTATATATATTCTTAATCAGGATGACAAAACGAGTCGATGTATCCCTGTCCGTGTGTCTGTACGAACGGAAGGATTTCAGAAAGTATATTTATATTTATTTTTCTATTTATTCTATTGAAATTGTACATGTCCACTTATGTATGTATGTATGTTTGTGTTGAATATTTTCTATATAACTTAATTAATTAATGAACTTTTTTAAATAATTTTTTTATATCCCTTTTTTGTGGAGAGTACAGGGTATTTTACTGTCGGGCTTGCTCAACTGTAGCGTTCTATTTTGTTTTGTTGTTGGTCTTCACATGATCTTCCTTTGACATTCTATTTCGTTGAGCATTATGTAGCGTAACACAGTATACATACATACATATATACACACAATCATGCATAGGAAATCGTCCATTTGGATGCATGGCATGGGCGTAGGCAGCTTTACCAAAGAGGGCGCCAAAAAATTAAAAGATTGATTAAAACGGCCTTCCCTGCCGCACCCCCTGCCTACGCCCTTAATGCATGGTATGCGTTAATATGTACATACATATGTACATGTACATATGTATGTACTTGTAGGTACGTTCAAACTTTTGGCGTGGGCTGTAGCTGTTACTAGCAAAAAAAACTATATTCATACATACATCGGCAAACATACATACATATGTACATATGCATGTATATACACGCATGTATGCATGTTTCCTTGATTGCACGGATAATTTTGTTGATAAATATATGTACATTCATGAATACACACATACATACATATGTATGTATGTACATTCGAACAACTGTTAAAAGTGCCTTTACTCTTGACTATGTATGAAAGTAAGCACATAATGTTACATACATACATACAAGATACTGTACAAATGAATGCCATGCCATTCAGATCCAACGCGCAGAAATGACGGCAAGTAACGGTTGTTGTTAAAACACGTTGAAAAAATACATAAACATATATGTACGTACATATTTATATATATGTACATATGTATGTACGTGGACAATTTTATAACAAAGCCTTCACAATAGTTGTATTTTTTGTAGTTTGCTTACCAAAGTATGAGTAAGCGCCTGATTTCTTTCCTTCCTTTGTTTATTCCCGCGGCCTGCGCCTCGAGAATACCCAGCGGTCGAAGGAAAATTGTTCATTCTCTTCTATAACTTATTTAAACTTTCAACTGAAACTCCCCGCACAACTTTTTATTTGGACATCCACGCCGAACAACGAATCAAATACCAATGAAGGAATCAAAGCCTAGTAGTAGCGATGAGAACTGAAACGGTTATTCGCTTTTTGTCGATTAGTCGACGTCTTGTTATTCTCACTCATTTATACCCTGTACCCAAAGGGTGAACGGCTATACTAGTTTTGTGCGAATGTATGTAACAGACAGAAGGAGGCGTGGCAGACCCCACAAAGTATATACAGCTGTTGACAACTAATTAACAACGATGGTGCCGGTTGAGAATTTCATCATTTTTCTCCTTTTTATAATGTGCTTCATAAAATGTTTACATATTCTATATGTGAGACCTATGAACTTAAAAACAAACCACAGTTGAGTTCAAATTTCTAACTCAAATATTTTTTATGAGTGATTTCCTGCCCATACCACGGGTTTGACCGAGACAACTAATTAACAACGTACACTTAATTAGTAAAAAAAATATGAAAACTTAAGGAAAAATTCAATAAAATTATAGTTTTAGATTTTACAACATTAATATTTGGTGGGAAAGCCTTTCTGCTTTAATACAGCTGTTCATCGGCGCTGCAATGACATTATAAAGCTCTAGCATCTTATCCTTAATTTTTTGGAATGATTTGTTCAAATTTGTTGCATTCTGGTGGGGGATCACTTTTTAACGTTGTTACATAAATGTTCAATGTGATTTAGATCAGGACTGCACGATAGCCATTCAAGAACCCTAACAAAACTTGTGTCCAAAAATTATTTTGTTGGACGCGCCGCATGTTTAGAGTGATCTTGCTTATAGGCCCAAGCACCCGTATTTTTATAGCCTGTACCCAAAGGGTGAAAGGCTATACTAGTTTTGTGCGCATGTATGTAACACACAGAAGGAGGCGTGGCAGACCCCACAAAGTATATATATTCTTGATCAGGATGAGAAGACGAGTCGATATAGCCATGTCCGTCTGTCCGTCTGACCGTCTGTCCGTCTGTCCGTCTGACCGTCTGTCCGTCTGTCTGTATGAGCGCAAGGATCTCAGTAAGTACAAGAGCTAGGATAACCAAAATTGGTATCAAGGTTCCTATAAGCCCTAGGCAGAACGAGTTTGTTTATTTTTTCTGATACACCACCCCACTCCCCCGCAATTCGTATTTTTTCTTATAACTTCCGTAATTCTCGGAATTTTGAAATCAATTTTGGTAGGTACATCCAGTTAGTACTAATGTGTCCGTGTGCCAAATTTCATCATGATAGGTCAATTCTGAAGAAAGTTATAGCCATAAGTAAAATCGCTGCTCATGCGCTGCCTGCAGCTCTGTCGGCAGCGCTGCCCGCAGCTGTTGTTGTTGTTGCTGCTTTGGTTTAACTTTGTGCTGCATACATACACGCATATAAACACGCATATAAACACGCATAGGTACGTGATGTAAATGTATGCTGTTTAAACTGAACATAAACATGTATTCTAATTTAATTTAATTCATTATTTTAATTAATTAATTAATTCATTTTTTTTAATAATTTAATTTTTAAAAAATTTTTTTTTTTTTAAATTTTTCCTTTTTGTGGAGAGTACAGGCTATTTTACTGTCGGGCTTGCTCGACTGTAGCGTTCTATCTTGTTTTTATTCGCCTATGCTATTAACATCCCAAGTCACAACCAAACGACCAGCGATCGCATCTTAAGATATTGTTGCATCGCTTTGATACCAAAATTCATGCTGGATGGCTACAGATCCCCTACGAGGATCCAAATTACCCATTCGAACAACCTTGCTATCCTTGTGCTCCGATGTTTTGCGTGGTCTCTTTTTGCGTGGCATATTTTATATTGTGTCATACTTTTGCAAATGCTTACGATCATTGAAAACCATCGTTTACCATTTTCCATGATTGATTATATTTTCTATTGACCAAATTTGATTAAAATGCGTTCTCAGAACCATAATCTACAAAAACTTACTTGATTTGTATAAAAATATACCGAAAAAGCAAACATTTTAACCTTTTTTGAAGTCGTTGCTAATTAGCTGGCACGGCAAAATCACACAACTCAACTTAAAAATCTAAATTAATAATTGAACGTTGCCGTGCTTTTTAAAACTGCGACACATTTATAAAAAGGAATAGTTGAAGAAGATATAAGTGGTGATTATGTACCGTTAGATCAACTGTTGTTATTATGAGAGTCGAAGAATCCTTTCAATTCTGCGCTGCCCGCAGCTGTTGTTGTTGTTGTTGCTGCTTTGGTTCAATTTTGTGCTGAATATATAAACGCATAGACACGTGATGTAAATGTAAAACTGCACAAAACATGTCTTCTATGTATGTATCAAATAAATTTTCTTTATTAATTTAATTAATTAATTAAATTTTCTTTAATAATTTTTTTTTTTTAATTTTCCTTTTTTGTGGAGAGTATTTTACTGTCGGCCTTGCTCGACTGTAGCGATCTCTCTTGTTTTTCCTTGCGTCAAAAAAATACGTTGCTAAGCAATTGTTGAGTTCAAATGGTGGCCGATATAATTTCGAAATCTGTAAGAAGTAGACAAGTTCAAAGCCCTGAGAAGAAGCAACGATTTTTTTTTTTTGGTGTAATCTGTACTTTTGAATGCAAAAAACAGCTGCATACTCGGTTTTTTGAAATTTGTATTGGAGCTTGAATTATTGGGTTTTAATATTAATTCACTTTTTCAAATGAAAAGCTTGAGTTATAAATTTTTTCCGATCAAATAATACAATTTGTTTGATTTTGATTTCAGTTTTTTCTTTTTTTATCCGGAAAACGAATAAGACTCAACTATGTATTATGCGTGTATGTGTATTTGTGTGTGACTGTGTATGTCTCGTGTGCCTGAGCAAAGCAGTAACAACAACAACGGCTGCGGGCACTACTTGGTCTTATGTACATACATATATGTTAAATCGGTCTATCATGATAAAACTTGGCAGTTGGACCTTTAAAAACTAAATGGAGGTAATGGAGGCCAAGTTTGAGTTCGATTTGCGGGGGAGAGGAGGGAGAGAGGGAAATTCCAAAATACACATTTTCTGCGTATTCACATAAGGCATCTGGGACTAAAATTGGACGAATGGAAAATGGAAACGCCCATAGGGGGAAAATGGGGGGGGGGGGGGGGATAAAACAAACTTGCACAGCGTACGCAGATAAGGCATCTTTGTGCAAAATTTGGTGTCTCTAGCTCTTATAGTCTCTGAGATCCAGGTGTTCAATAATATATACACTTTGTGGGGTCTGCCACGCCTCCTTCTGCCTGTTACATTTTCAGCTCCCGCAAACCTAATATACTCTTGTACATTTTATGTACAGAGTATAACAAGTAGAGAAGCTAAAGTCGGGTGTCCCGACTTTCAAATACTCTGTACATATGTATATAATAATTATGTGTATGTTTGTGTGTCTGGGTATGTCTCGTGTGCCTGTGCAAAGCAGTAACATCAACAACAGATGCGGGCGCTGCCTGGTCATAAATACATATATGGCTATAACTTCCTGGTATTTTTCGATTTTAAATGAAAAATTCCAAGAATCCCAAGCTCGCGCAAACCTAATATGCATTTCATGTACAGAGTATAATTAGGATGTTCTCTTATAATCATTCCCCTTTTTTGCACGTAGTCTATCTTAAAACGTTGCGTTATCTCTATATATATCAAACAGTTTGTCCTGACTGATTGGTGATCAACACACAGCTCAAACGGTAAAAGCTAGAAAGCTGAAATTTGGACTCAAGTATCCATTCATAGTATCCATTATAGTTTAGGTGCGCACTAAAAAAGGCTTTTGAAAAATGCGAGCTCCAAAGGGGGGAAACGAGCTTTAAAAAATATTAGTTATTGTGGTCAAAAGTTTATTTAAATACCTTAAATGCCTTCCTACTGGTAACTAATAAGGTGAAAACATATGGGTAGGTCATCCACACACAAAATAAATACAATTTGCTACATTATATTGTTTAACGGGCAATACCTGCTAGTCTTCATACATATGTACATATAAAGGTGTAAAGGACTACATCAAAATAATTATTTTTTAAGAAATAATGAGTGTGCCTATTAGTTAAAAAGAGCATGTGCTTTGAGCTCTGAAGAAATAATAAAGGCACACCATGCATCTATCTATTATTTTTTATGCTAACCATATATGTATAGTATGTACTCGTGCAACAACAAAAATCGTTTCTTTCTCTGCCAAGCATAGTGTCGAATCAGCGTTCACGCGCTCCTGCGACTGAAAATTGTCGCCGACTTGCAATCGCAAAAAAAGGGGATAGCTTGACGCATGTCTGAATGTACGAAACGCACACACACCGCCCTGTGCCGAGTATTTATAGTATAAATATAAATATATCCATGCGGCCAATGACTAAACTTCTGGTTCATTGAAGCGTATAAAATGTTCGAATCATTTTTTTTGACGCTTGAATAGATTTTAAGCAATAAGCGGTTTTTTTTCTTTCGATTTTTTTCGTATGCTCCTGTGTACATTTTCATGCCAATAGCTTCCGAAGTTAACGCCTCAGAAAATCATATACATACATACATATGTATATATGTACATATGCATGTTTTTCACAATGGTACTCGATTCGTGACTCTATTACAAAAACTATGTACAAGATTATATACAAGTACAAGTATAATATGACGGTAGGAAAATTCTTGCGACCAGACCTTTCTAACAAAACAAGTAAAAAAGCTAAAGTCGGGTGTCCCGACATTGAAATACTCTGTACATATGTTTACAATAATTATAGAAATTAAAAATATAAAGAAAATTAAAAAAAAAAAATTGGATCGATTTTACCTCTCTCGGTATTTGAACTCACGTAAAGGGTGTATAATTGCACATTTACAAAGCAATTGTCTATTCGTGTATGTGTAAACATGTTTGCAGTCAACCAAAGCACCAGCAAAGCACAACAGCTGCGGGCAGCGCTTGGGCAGCAAATATATTCTAATTTAACTTCTTGTTAAATCGGTCTA